GAGAGAGAGCGACACACTCAACAGGGAATTCCCTCTGTTGCTGTCTCTGCTGCTGCTGCTGCTTGCGATTGAACGAATGGCAGACCAAATTGAAAGCTAAATTAAGAGCAAGCGCAAGAGAGAGCGCGTGAGAGAGAGTGTCTGTGCTGAGAGTGCTTTGAGTAATATAAAGAGTGAGCGCGTGCAACGTATATAATTCAAAGGAAATTAATCATAAATGTGAATAACTTTTCATAATTGCTTTTTTGCGTTGTCAGCCGTTTTGGCATTTTTACAGTTTTTACTCATTGCGCTCGTTGCTGTGGTGTGAACAACGAAATAGAAGAAGAAGAGGAAGAAGCACAGATAGATGTATGTTTATACATATATGCAAATGTGTGTGCGTGTGTGTGTTTGTGTGCCTTTGTTCAGTCTCTGCTGTGTTAACCTTCATGTGTGTGCGAGAGCTTATCTCACTCACGTTAACTGTGTTTGCTCATCATCAAGCACAAGTCATCGGTATACACGTAATCACATGGGTTAATCATAAACGAGCATTTCTCTATTTGAATAGTAGTAGTAGTTTAGTAGTCGTAGTCGTCGCCATTGTGTTCGCATTCAGGGCAGTCCCCAATTAATCTTATTTTTGTTTTCTTTTATTATTCGTTTATTAATTAATCATTTTGAATTATGTATATAAATTTACACCTTCCTCGGCACATAGCAATTTTATCAGCATTATTTTGTATTTTATGACAACCAGATTTTTTCCAGGAGAACAATTTATTTATTGTGCTTTTATCAGCTGTGAATAGGCTTATAAACAGTTTACTTAACTTAATATATAGTTTGGCAAGAAATTGTTTGGATTTTTCCTTATGCATAGATACATTTTGGCAAGGATGATTAGATACTCTGTTGCAAATTGTAAATATACAGTTTGTCTAGAAAGTGGTGTTTTTACAATAAAATGCAATAAAAATAATTCTATATTTCTGCTGAATTTTACAATTTGCAATCTGTGGCAACAGATTAACTAATTTGTGGCTTTATTGTGCTCTTTAAATCTAAATCATGAAGCGTGTATTTCCCACATCCTCCTCTCCTCTCCTCTCCTCCTGCCATCACCACTCGTTCTTCGCGTTCCACATTTGCAGTTTAATTGTTTGGTTTTTTTTACGAGTCGAGTTGAGTCGAGTCGCCCCCACGCACTTTGCCACACATTCCTCGCATATTTAGCGGAGTCTCACGTGGGACTTGGCTCCAATTTGCAACTGCAACTGCAATTTCAATTCCAATTCCAATTTCAATTCTGATTCCGTTCGGTGCAGCAGCAGCAGCTGTAAATGTAACTGGATTTTGGGCCCAGCCCCGTTGCGTTCCGCCCCTTTGCATACATATATACTATATACATATGAATTGATGCCTTTTTATTTGATTTAATTAAATATGCAAACAGCTGCAAAAATTGGCAGCCGTTGGAAAAGAGAAAAAAAAGTTGAGCCCAAACACCATTACTCTATGAATATAGCACATTTATTTTTATTTGTATTATTTTTTAATTTTATTTTGATTGCTTTCGTTTTGTTTGGCATTATTACAAATTCCAAGCGATAGAGCAAAGAATATTCCGTTTATTGTTTAGTAAATACACACACTCACACACACATGCGAACAGTACAGAAAGAATTAAAATATAAATATAACAAGAACAAGAACAACAACAATAACAACAAGAGTAGCAGCAGCAGCCGCAATAAAGTCGAGCACTTTAATTACGCAATCAACAGGCGCATATGCAAAAATGTTGTGGTTTCTGTTGTTGTTTTTTTACTTTTATTGCTGCCGTTGAACATTTCATTTCATTTGGTTTCTGTGCTGCTTCGCATATTTCATTTGCTGCGGCTGCTTTGCGCTTGTCTACGTCACAGGCAAACACAACGATTTAATTGAGAGCACCGCTGACAGCCGGTGAGTGCGACAGAGAGCGAGCGAGAGAGAGAGTGAGAGAATGTAAAAATATAATGCAAAAGAAATTACAGCGGCGGCTGCGACGCCGACTGCAGCAGTGTTGATTTTGTCATCTTCCTCTTGCTCTTCTTTGACAATATTTTCGGATATGCTTTTTTTTTTTTTGTTTCAAATGACGTTGCGAATTTCGAGTGGATTTGCTGCACTTAACTCCCCCAGACACACTCGGTCAGTTGGCTAAATGGCAGTTAAAACGATTAACAGAGTTCACCTTCAAGGGAATGATGCAGCCGGCAGCTGTCAATGAGTCATTGGTAGTCAGTCAAGTAACAGTGACTGCAATGTGTCAATGTTAATTTGTAACTGTGTAAATGTGTATGAATGTAAATAGACATTTCTAACATGCAAGTCGCATTAACGTATTCTGAATAACAGGGCTATTAAATAAATTGCGTATGTATATTGTGTGTGTGTTTACATTTTATCTATAACTACCAGCAACACCTCTCCAAGGTATTGAGTCATGGCTGAGGCATTCACATATTTGTTATTTGTTTTATAAATCTAAATTTATCCAACTGAGAACAAAAAAAAATAACAAATAACTGCGACCTTCTCAACTGACAAGCGAAGCACGAGAAGCAACAGGGAAAAAGGAGTAGCGAAAAGGCTGCATGCAAATTAAAGCAGCGGCCAGGCACTCAGCATTTATGGCAGGCGACTGCAGGCAGCTGCGCTCAGCAGGAATCAGGCGAACAACAGAGACAGACAGACAACGCAAGAGAGAGAGAGAGAGAGAGAGAGAAACAGAGAAGAGAAGAAACGGTGAAGAGTTGTGAACGCAGGTAGCATAAAACGCGACCGCGATTTGCGCACGCATCAAATGAAAAGAAGAACAAGCTTAAGAAAGAGTAAAAGACGAAGAAGATGAAATAGTAGAAGTAGAAGAGGAAAAGGAGCCATTCGCTTAAGCTCGCGCTATCTCTCTCTCTCTCATTCGCTCTGTAGTTGCCCAAGAAGCGGCTGTCGTTGTGTCTGCTGCGGCTGCTTTACCACCTGCCGCACTTGTTTACGACCGCCGACTTGTTGGCGTCGAACGAAAGCGGAAACATGCGCATCAAGGCACACACACACACACATACACATAAAAAAAAATAAGCATAGCGACTAACAACAAGTCTGAAATTGGCAATTGGCCGTCGTCATCATCAACTCATGCGCTTTGCTTTGGCTCTTCATTTCTTTTGCTTCACTTTAAAACTTGTTAAACCAACCAGTTTAGCTTTTGCAGCTGTGTGCGTGTGTGTGTGTGTGTTTGTGTGCTGGGGAAGCCGCTTATTGTTATGTTCTTTTTGTTTTTTTTTTCTTTTTTGGTTCTGCTTCGTCTTCATCAGCAGCTTCGGCCTCTGCTAATTGTTGCTGCAAATGTTAATAAATACAATTAGCGAGTGTGTTTGAGTGTGTGAGTGTGTGTGTGAGGCATGAGCTCAGCTGAGTAAGCACTCATGACGTCACACACAGTTGAGCTGATTGCGTAACCTCAAAGATGAATCGAATCGCTTTACTCAGTTAAATATCATTTAAGGTTTATTTTCTAATTTGCACAAAACAAGTTTCACGCAGAGAACAAAACTAAGCAGAAATTGTTGCATACTTCGCGGCGTCGGCAGCAATCTTTTTTCTTTCTTTTTTTTTTAAGTTGCTGCTTATCAGCGACAGTGTTCAAAGTGCAGCTCAGCTGCTCGCGATTAAAGTACGAGTTCGAGTGCGAGTCCGACTATATAGTCAGTCATATATATATATATATATATATACATAGAACGCATGAGCACTTTTTACAACAGCGCAAGACAATAATTTCAGTTTGCGTTGCGCTGATAACGTTTAATCGCACTTTATTTTGTAATTTCTACTTTGCACAGCAGCAGCAACATTTACTTATCACAACGAAATTGTGCAAATGGCAACTAAATTGCGCAGGCCACAAAAGGCCACAAACGAGATGAGGCAGAAGAGTCCCCCCACCCCCAAAGCATAAGCTGAGGAATGTGACCAAATTTATGAACAACATTCAAATGTGCGTCATTCCAATTGGCTGGGTCAACAAAAAATTAAAACAAAAAAAAATGAATGTGTAAAAAAATATAGAAAAAAAGCTGCTCAAGTCTCGTCAAGCTGTTTTGATTATTATTTGTGATTTTTGTTTTCATTTTTTCTTTTTTCTTTTGAATGGCGAATGGGAATTTCGCCACATTTTGCGATCGCTGCGAATTTATTAATAGAACATTTAGGATTCTCTATGCGTTTCTTCAATTCGCGTAGACAAAAGTTTATTTCGCTAAATCTTCGTGTATATACATGTATATATATATATATAAACACACACAGCTACTTATGGAGATGAGTGTATGGGCAGACACACATTTAAAATTAGCAAACATTTCACAAAGATCACGAAAAATAAATATACACTAATGTATACCCATATCGATTATATATATATATATATATCTATATACATATGTATATTATGTGTTTCTGTGTGGCACTATTAAGAGCAGGATTCTTCACAAATGTGTTTAGCTTTGATGTCCTCCGTTTTGCAACAGTTTTGTCAGTGAATTACCCAAAGTTGCTGTGTGTGGCTTGTTGAATGTGCTGTGTTGCACACACACACACACACACACTTGACGTCACTGAGAGTGAAATGTCAGTGTCAATGCGTGGGGGGGCCTCGACATTTGGTATAAATAAAAGATTAAATAGATTTTATTTTGCTCTTTATTTGTATTTGTCTGTCTGCGACAAACGAAACACGAATTGAATACAATGCGAACAAAATAAACGAATACATTTGAAAATAGAAAAAAGGCAATTATATTTCAGATTCTGCGGAATTTTCGAAGAATTTTCTAATAACTCGTAGCTATTAATTTGATGACAGCAGCCAAGCAAATTAAACATCAACCGAATCATACAATGTGTATGCGAATAAATCAAAGCGAATGTTTTATATTAAACACAATTTGTTTGCTTCTCTCTCGTTTTAGAATCAACTGTGAATTCGCGTAAAAATGCCTTGGAAACGTCACGCGAAAAACTTAAGGGTAAGTTGCAAAATGTTCAATGTGTCATTAAAAATGTTTATTATTTTTAAAATATTTATTTGCTTTGTGTTATGTGATTTTGATTGATTGATCTTCTTTTATAAAAGAATTAATTAGTTTTCCTTTAGCTATACACATAATAATAGTGACAATCATATCTATAATAATAATGATTGAGGGATTTAAAGTTCTTTACAAATCTGATTCTTAAATTGAAAGTATTACAAATATTTTATGAACTTTTCTTGGGTTTTCAACCAATCAGCTTAATAGTCTTTATAATCAATCAATTATTATTATTTATTTTTTAAGAGCTGAATGCTTGAATGAAATATAAATCAAATACAAAGTAAATTTTAAAAAAAGCTGTATAAATCAATTTAATAAGAGTTTAAATTGGTTTACCGAAGAAAGAGTAATAACTGCTCTTATTTATATATATTATATATAGATATGTATGTATATATATATGTGTGTGTGTGTGTTTGTAGTTGTGCTTGTGCATTGAGATATATAGTTCTGTTGAAATCTCATTTTGTTTAACACAATTGCCAACCGAATTGTTAATATTATTTGTTGGCAACAAAAGTGGGCCAATTTAAATTTCATTGCCCCTTTCCCGAGCACATATGTATGTATGTATGCGTGTGTGAGTGTGTGTGTGTGTGCGTAGCGTATCATATCACACATAAGTGCCTATCAGGGCAGTTGATAATGAAAGTGAAATCGCAAAAGACCAGCTGGCAAATAAAAATAACCGTTAATCGTATAAAAAATAGCCTGTAAATACGCACACACACACATGTGTATATGTATGTATATATGTATATATATATATATAGCACAGACATATAGAGTAGCATGCTTAAGCTGTAATCTCTTTTTCATACGCACATAAACATATTAAATTCTGCACAAGTGTGTGTAATTCTGTGTGTGTGTGTATATATATATATACCATTTTCCACGCAACGCATATTGTTATTATTATTTTATTTGTTGTGCATGTGTGTGTGTGTGTGTGCGTGTGTACTTCTATCATGAATCACGCCATTCGTTTTTTATCAAGCCAGGCGACTTCTATTTTATGCTCTCACACACACACACATATTTTTATCAATATTTCCGAGCATTGACATATACACATGTATATAGTATTACATATATATAATATATATATAGAGTATAAATGGGCGCATGGGTCTATGTGTAATTGCCTGGTGCTTGTCAGCTGTATAATGGCTGTATTAAACGGCTTTACACATGAAAAAAAAAAAACACAACAAATCAAAAAACTGGCACAGCGGAAGACGACTAGAAGCGGAAGAGGAGCGGGGAGGGAAGGAGGAGTAGGTTAAGCGGTGGGAGGTGGATTGGTCGCTGGTCAAACAGAATTTCGTTTGTGGACGAGTCGATTTCGTTGTCACTGATAGCCAGATAACAGCAAACAATGGACAATGAACAGGCAGACAGGCAGACAGACAAATCGACAGACGGCACTATGAAGGTCAACTCCAAATTGTGGCTTGTCCAAACATACATACAAAGATAGATCAGAGTATGCCACAGTCGGTTCTATATATCATTAATGAATAATACGAAACGTGGCTCAATTACACCTCTTCAATTTGGTTAGTTTAGGCAAGGGAAAAGCCCACACACTTCAGCCATATCTGATTATATTTAAATATTATTGAACTTGCCATTAAATAATTGATTATCAATTATGTTGGGCTTAATCGGGCATTACAGATAGAATTATGCTAAATACTCATTGTAAGACACAAAATAATTTCATTTGAATAATTGTTTATTGTGTGTTGACCTCTTTTTAGAATTTAAATGGGTTTTTCACTTGCTGCCGGTCAAGTGTTCAAGTGGTGATTGAAGAAACAGCTGTGGAATTTGGAAAAGCACTTGACCTAAAGCCAGAGAAAAACAAAATAATTAGAAAAAGAAATTGTCTTTTTTTGAAGCTGACAATAATTGTTGTGAAAGTCAATAGAAATATTTGAAAATAATACAATAATTGCATAGAAATATGCCAGAGCTTCAACTAATTCTTATAAATATATTCTTTTAAAATTGACTTCGCTGAGAGTAATCCAAGTGTGTATCAGTTAAAGTTATATACAAATGTAGATAAAGAAAACACCTCCGTAAATGATTATTGATTTGCATCTAGTTGCAAGCGAGAGTTCCGAGAACACTTCAAATCTAATTAGGACAAGCGATGCAGAAGGTGCAAGGATATTCAGCCTTAAACACTGCTGGGGATTTCCACAGAAGCAATTGACGAGCACTTCGAGGACTACCTGCCTGCAGCGAGGATCTGTTCGCTGTTGAGATTCGTTTGTTTTGCAGTCAAGTGGTTTCTCTTTGTCTCTCTCCATCTCTCCCTCTCTTACTCTGGCAATCCCTTTGTTGATCAAATGTCAAGTAGACATCTTCGGGGCAGGCAACATGGCTGGCGCTACCAGTTGCCAGGCAGTGGCAAACTATTGACCTGGCCATTTGCCGAGCGTTTCTATTGATGATTTTATGGGTTTTGCCCGCGAAAAAAAGATGTGATTTTAATGATGCCATCGAGTCTGCATTGGGATTTGCAGTTGCAGGTAAAAAGCTGCGCAAATCCATTGACGCAAGTCATTAAGCTGTCTCGCTGCAGTCTGGGGCAGTATCTGATAGCACGCAGCAACAGCTGCCACAATGCCACAATATGCGCAGCTATTTAGAATAAGCAGGAGATGCCAACATACATATCTACACGCATATACACAATTGTAGTCCAGATACAGATACAGATACACTCTGCAAAAAAAGAGCAACTACATTTTTAATTTTCAGTTGTTGTTTTTATATTTGCCCTCAAAAAATGATTTAGAAAACAAGTGTTTTTCTTTACTTAATTAAAGTATACATTTTTATAAAAATCTAGAAAAAATAGGTATAAATTTGTGCTAAAAATAAGATTTTTGCATTTCTACATTTTAATAATAGATTGATTATAATATAGAAAATATTCATTTTTATTTTAAAAATAGATTTGACAATTTCAAGAATTTTTCGTTCGTATATTTGCAAATCATTTCCAAAAACAATAACAGACTTGCTAGTTCCCGGCATGATTTTCGAAATTTCAGTGCGATTTTTGTATTTTTGCTGAGTGTACAGATACAAGATACAAGATACACGGCACACAGTCAGCGGCAGCTGAACATTCACAGCATATTTTCATTGGCGTCGCAAGTCTGCGATCGTCGTCGCATTTACTGCTCGACTGCTTAATATAAAACCAAATTCATAGACGCCGCAGCAGAATAAGTGGCAAGCGGAATGTGTGTGTCAGTGTGTGTGTGTGTGTGTTTTTGTATGTGTATAAAAGTATCTCGTAGCTACAGCTACGCACAAAGCTCTTTCACAGTCGCCCAACTGGCGATTCCCAATCAGCAGCAACAGCAGCAGCCAAGGCGAGTACAACACACACATCAACACACACATCAACACACACTACACACACACATGCACAACTTAATACTTGTTGTATTTAGACAACAAGAAGAACAGCAACAACATGACACACAATGAACTCATACGATGTGCTGATACCTCGACAACAATCAAGCAGAGACACACAACCAGAGAATTATACTCGAAATAAAAACTCACTCACACACACACACTCACTCACACACACACTCACACACACACTCACACACACATGGGGAGGCCAGCACATGGTAAATGTTGGGCGCACTTTCAGTTAGATTCTCATGAATTGTAAATACAAATATAAAATAAAAAAAAACACAACCCAGCGGAACTTTCTACAAATAATGCTATATTTGTGCAGAGAAATTGTCTTGGCAATCATAAATATTAATCTCAGAAAAGATCTTTAGATCGTTTGCCATGACAGCTATATAATTTAGTAGTCCGATCTCGACGATTTGTGGTCCACTTGTTGGATATAGTATAGAAGTCATGACTAATCAGTTTGCTTTGCATCACTTACTAAACACAAATGTTTTTCATGGAAGAACCTATCTTTTGACCGAATATTCCTGTGATAGCTATAGGTTATAGTAGTCATATTGCAACGATTTCGTATCCATTTGTTGAGTTTGATTGGGATAATTGGTAGACAAGAAAGTGGTTTATCCCATAACTCATGATGAAATAGTCTGATATCAAAGATATTTTGTCTATATATTAAGAGCATATTTAAATTCATGCATAGTGAGTTTGGCGAGGATAATTTATTAAACAAAAAAGTTGTTCATATTAAAAGTCGTGTTTCAACTAATTTTTCAAATAACAAATGGAAAATGTTCATTTCTGGCAAAATTGTTGTTCAATTTTTGTTATGCATAAACCACATAAAAAAATATTAATTTATAAAAAAAAAAGTAAACAATTAAAGAAATGAAAATTGTTTATTTGCTAACAGTAACTTCCTGTTCCTGCTGAATGTTAATCATAATTGTTGCTCGTGTTTTGGAGCATGCAATGCAAAAAGTAATGTGGCTTTTTTCAGTACATTCTTCACGCAGTCAAGCTACAACTGGGAAACGATGTGTGTGTGTGTGTGTCAGTCAGTCTGTCATGTCTGTCGGTTGCCTGTCTGCTTATCAGACTGTCTGCATGATCGAAAAATGTTGCTATTGGCAGTCAAGCACGGCCAGCAGAGCCAGCCAGCAGAGCCAGCCAGCTGCCAATGTTCAATCGGCATGACTATGGATACATTTGGCGTAGATACGATACAAAAAAATACAATATACAATTTACAATATGCCAAATAGCAAACTCAAACACAAATATGCAAATGCTCATGACGTGCGCGCACTTAGCGATTTGCCGTTGTTGTTGTTGTTGATATTGTTACTAGTCTGTTATGGTCTGGCAACTATCGCCATTCATAGAAGAGAAACACACACACACACACTCACACAGGCAAACACACACACATACATAAGTACATACATGTACAATCGTAGTTG